CCACTGTGCCTGGTGGTACTAGTCAAAAGATAGAAAAGGAATGAGTGGAATAGAATAGACAAGAAAACATCAGAAATAAGTGAATGAAATAATCCAGTGTTCCATAAATGTCAAAAATATAAGTTAGGTAGAAAAATATTCATTATTTGACAAGAATTGCTGGGAAAACTGAGAAGCAATCCTGAAAAAATTGGGTCTAGGCACCCCATCTTACCTGAAGGCAAGAGAAGTTGGGTGACTTGCCTAGAGTTACACAGCTGGAGTTTGAGGCAAGATTTGAACTCGGGTTTTCCTGACTCTAGTCTGGCATACTTTACTGTGCCATCTAACTGCCAAGAGTTACAGAGAAGAAGTTATGCATCTAGAAATCTTGAAATTTCCTGCCTGGGATTTAAGAGAGGGGAATGGTTCTAAATCTGGGTCCATGAACTTGGAAAGGGGAAAAAATGCATCTTTATTTTCACTAACCTTTAAACTGAAATTTAGTATTTCTTTTAATTGCCTGAAACCATTCTTCTGAGATGGGGTCCATTGGTTTTACTTCACTGACAAAGGAATCTCATCCCTGGTCTACATCAACAAAACTACATATATATATATATATATATATATATATATATCACAATAAACTCAAAATGAACATGTGAATATCAAAGATTATATAAAAAATTAGAGGGAAACCAGATCAGGTCCCTTTCACTTATATGGCCAGGGAGTGAATTCTTAGCTAGACAAGGAATAGAGGTTATTACAAATGGTAAAATAGATAATTTTAATTTCATGAAGTTGAAAAGCTTCTGCATGAACAAAATTAACACAACTAGAATAATAAGAGAAGCAATAGATTTGGAAAATATATTTGTATAAAATATTTTTGAAAAGGGGTCTGATATCCAAGATATCAAGGTAAGTAACTAACAGAAATATTTAAGATCAAGAGCCATTCTCCACTAGGTAAGTAGTCAAAGGATACAAGCAAATAGTTGTCAGAAGAATCACAACCCATTATCAGTCATGCGGAAGATTACTCTGAACCACCGATAATAAAAGAAATACAAATAAAATATATTTTCCAAATCTATTGCTCCTCTTATTATTCTAGTTGCATTAATTTTGTTCATGCAGAAGCTTTTCAACTTCATGAAATCAAAATTGTCTATTTTACTATTTGTAATAACCTCTATTTTTCATAGAATATCCAACAAATTGGAAAAGATAGCAGAAGAAAGAAATAATTGATTTTGAAGAAGCTGTAGGAAGACAGGCATGCAAATGTACTGCTGATGAAGCTGTGATTTAATCTAACCATTATGGAGAGCAATTTGGAATTATACCTTTAAAAAGGTATGTTTTTTTAAAGGGAGGTGCCCATAACACCATGGCCTAGTAGTCCCCAATTTTGTGAATTCTAAAAGCTACAGACTAATGACCTAGATGTCAATACTCAGGAAAATTGTATTCTAGGGAGTTTGGAAGTATTTAGAAAGGGAAATAAATGGTGATCACCAGGAGCCAGCATGAGTTCACTAAAATGAAGTCCTGCCAACCTCTACTTTTTTGACATGGTTATTATTGGACTAATTAATAGGTCACAGAAGATTAAAGACCATACTTAACCTTACTGGTTTTGGCAGTTCTGACTGGTGTCCCATGTGGTATCAATATGGGTAATATAAAGATTTCAATGCTAGTGATATTTTCCCTCCAAAATATTAAATATTAAATTATATATGTACCAGGGGAAAAAAGGAGGTAATGGAAAGTTGTCTAAAATGTCCATACCCTTTAACCTAGAGTACAGGTAGACATATATTCAAAGGAGGTCAAAGACCAAAAGAAAGGTATCATAGACATAAAAGTATTCATAGCAACACTTTTTGTATTAACAACAACAACAAAACTTCAAACGTAATAGGTGCCCATCTGCTAAAGCATAAGTCTGAAGGATTGCTTATGTTGCCTATCCCTGGCTTGTAGGCTGTCTGCAAAGGGCACAAAAAATTTCAAGGCTTCTGCCTTAAATTAATTGAAATCACATGCATTCCTTCAACAAATATATATTATTTACAAGGTATTAGACTTGACCCTTGCCTACCAAGATATGTTTCTTACTATTACTTCCTAGACCTTGACCCCTTTTCATTACAGCTTAAATAAATTGTTAACTCTACCTTCTCCTGGTCTGCCCTGATCTGTTTCTGTCTATGTTCTCGTGTGACAACGTTTACAGCATTATTAGGGAAATGAAAACTTTGTATTTAAAACAATTGGAATATGTTCTGGACCTGTGACTTTATTAATAGAGTCTGCAAGATAGATTGTGCTACTCATGCCTGATATACATTGTAGGTTTGGGGGAGGATTAAGCTAAGAGGTAGCCCAAAGTATTTAAATTCTCCGGTGTTATTGCATGAGGTTTTATGTGGTGGTGTATTGTTTTTGCCTTATTTTCTTGTGGATTTAGCCTCACTCTATATTTTCATATTTGACTGGAATGTCTTTTGTGGCTTCTTTCAAATTATTGATTAAAAAGTAGCACCACATAGGGTCAAGGAGAGATGCCTTGGACCTTCCAGGAGAAATTTCCATTCAATTTAACATTGTTCTATTAAGATAGAATCAGTTCTCAATACACCTAACCACACCATCATACAATATGTTTCTCTAACTAGCCCCAAAAGATATCACAATAAATTTTACCAAATGCTCTACAGAAATCTTTTCTCTGTTTCCTCGCTTGTAAAATGGAGTTATACCAGCTGATCTCTAAGTTTTCTCCCATCTCTTAATACTATAATTGTAACTAGTCAGTGAATGTTATTAAAGAGTTTCTTTCATTGTTGGCCCCCTCCACCACCATCACCACCACCACCATATGTCATCCTCCAGGCCTCTCATGCCTACACTGTGTCCTGGCTCTGGTATGACTGATGCCTGTCTTGGAAAGATAGATTCTTTGAGATAGAAAATTTGAAATTTGTTCATTAAAACCTTCCCAGCAGTTTTGTTCTATGCCATTTAATAATGACTTATATTTATAGAAGGCTTTAAGGTTTGTGATACTTTTCAAAAATATTGTCTCATTTATTTTTTTTTACAACAACCATATGAGGTGAATAATAGTGAAGGGACTTGCTGAAACTCATGGAGTCAAGATTCAAAAACCCTAGCCTCCCAACCCCAAGTCTAAAGCTTTTTTCTACTGAATCATGCATCAAAGAAATAGGCAAGTTACCTGGGGCATCTATGTAAAATCTCAACCCACATATTAATATCATCTTTTTCAGAAAAGGAGATAAATTGAGTTGCATCGTACAATAGCTATATACTCTGGGAAAAATAAATTGTCATTATTTAGTTTTCAGTTGTGTCCGACTCTTCTTGACCCCCTTTGGAGATTTTTTTGGTAAAGATAATGGAGTAGCTTGCCATTTCCTTCTCTAGCTCATTTTATAGATGTGGAATGAGGCAAACAGAAGTTAAGTGACTTGCTCGGGGTCCCACAGCTATGTGACCAGCTAATCTGCTGCTCCACTGTAGAACCAGGTTTGAATTCAGGATTTCCTGGCTCCAGGTCCAGTACTCTACCCACTGTGCCACCTAACTGCCCTCTGGAAAAACAAAATCACAACTAATTTGTATGTTATTTGTAAAAATTCCTTAACTGTTTAAACTACTACAAGAAGACAGAAAACAAGGATGACTTTGATACACTATTATATTAAATAGTATATACACTCCATATTTATGCATATACTCAGGTAGGTGTTACAGTGCATGGAGTGCCACATATGGAGTCAGGAAGATCTGATTTCAAATTTGACCTCTGATAGTTAATAGCTGTGGGACCCTGGGCAAATCACTTAACTGCTGTTTGCTTTATTCCTCATCTGTAAACTGGGGATAGTAACAGCACTCACCTCCCAGGGTTGTTTTGAAGATTAAATAGGATAATAATAACAATGCATTTAGCACAATGACTAGCACATAGTAAGCATTTTATAAATGTTAGCTATTATCATGATTATTATTATGATTAGAGAGGCAGCATAGTATGGTAAATAGAGCACTGGCCTTCAAGCCAGGCAGATCTGTCTTCAAGTTTTAGCTCTGAAACATACTAACTGTGTGACTCAGGGCAATCCCCTTACTCTCTCAATGAGGCAAATCTCTAAGACTGTTAAGTTGTAAAGAAGGTACCAACTTATATTTGGAAAGAGCGTCTCCTCATCTAGGAGATTCCTCTCACAATGAAATCATAGAAGAGTGTCTGGCATATAGCAGGTGCTTAATAAATGTTCATTGACTGACTGACTATGCCAAATATCCTCAAAATCCTGATTTCATTTACCTAACAATGACGTAAATGTTGCTACATAAGACCCTGGACAACAGCAGCTCAGGGCAGATTAGGGGCAACTTGGGGTGAGAATTTACCCAAACAGAAAGAATCTGGCAGATGTCATAATGCAAGGAGGTCAAGTTCAGGAAGTAAGAGAAAAGAGCAGATTCTGGCAGGCAGAGGTCAAGTCCAGTTCCTTGTACTCATTTAATTCCCAATAGATATTTGTTGAATGGATGAATGCGATTGCAAGAGCTTTAAGGGAATTCTGAGCACTAGCTATCACATTTAATCAGTGAACACTATCTTCAGAATAAGCTCCAAAAATTAAAAAAATTCCAAAGAGTTTTAGGGAAGCTATCAAAAGAGAGAAAATGCACATTTAGATACTATAAACAACTGGACAGCTTTACAGGGGTGAATGAAATGTTGGTAATGTATTTTAATATCATTCAGTAGCCATGTAGATAAGATAAGTCTTAGAGAATTGCTTGAAGTTCATTTTATTATTGCTTTGTGTGGGGGCCATGGAGGACACTGAGCCCTAGCTTCAGTATCAGCTATAAAAAATATGTGTTTATGACAGTTTAAATAGATATAAACCATAAACCATGCTCCTGGGTGCAACATCCTGTTTACTGATGAAAGCACAGCCAGACTAAGTGAACAGGATTGCAATCCAATATGTAATCAGACTGCAGGGATTTCAGGCTGGTGAATTCCTCAGAAAAGAACAGATCAGTGTCAGATGATGCTATTTAGGGCAGTCAGGGTGTGTTCTACAGTGGAGTAGCAGATTAAGCAATCGACCCTATCTGGAAGGAAAAAGGAGCAGTGACTTCAATATCATCACATAGGCTGATTTTGGTCGTTCTTTCTCAAAGGGATACAGTTGGAAAATTGGAGGTAAAACATCTAAGTGTTTTCTGGGTTAATTCTGCTATCATTGCCATTTTCTCACTTTTTTGATATAAAATATATAACCTGATAGGTTTTGATGTTCTCAGCATAGGCTACATTATAGCTACGTTGCCAGGGTTTCTTTCTGTGTTTTAGCTACAATGGTGAATATTATAGAACTCTCACTTGACTTGAAAGAGTGGAAAGGACACTAGATTTGGAGTTGGAAGACATGGATTCAAACCCTGGTTCTGCCACTGGCTACCTGTGCAACCATGGGAAAGTCTCCATTCCCTTATCTGCAAAATGAGGAGGCTGGATTAGAACTCTAAGTCAATGACCTTACAACTTCTTGCATTCATAGATGCACCAATTATTTCATGTAGTAACTATACTATTATATCAGATGAGACAACATGGGTAAAGTGCTTTGTAAAACTTGAAGCTCTATAAAATGTTTATTATTGTTGTTATTGTTAATGTTATTGACTTTGTTGGGTGTGGAGCTCTTTGACAATATGTGTTAAGGAGCATTTCCCCGTAGCCTTCCTTCTGGAGCAAGACTGTTTCTGGTACCTACATCCTCATGTTCTTCCAAGCTAAGTGCATCCTAAGTAGAGGCATATATATATATATATATGTATATAATATATATATATATATGTATGTATATATGTCATACTTATAATGTCATACTTAAATACTTTTTTGAAGTGTGGTCTTGAAGGCTCTGACAGGGAAAAGTAGTCCCTCAAAGATACTGCCAAACTTTGAAAAGGCTTTTTAAAGTATAGACTAGTATGAACAATCTGGTATCTGAAGTCTAGAATTGATAAGTTCAGAGAAATTTATCATAAAGAGAATGAATACAGCAGCCCATGAAACCCTATACTGTTGCAGAAAGGTTTTCATTAGTGGAGAGAGTGTTCTCATAGAGCACATGGATATTTTCAAATAAATATCTGTGGCCGTGAATAAAGACCAGAAAAAAATCAAATGGACTAAAATTATTCAGTTACCTTAATTTCCCTGGCTTCCTTCAAAATGTAGCTCAGATTCTACCTTCCACAGAAGTCTTTTCCTAATTTCCCCAGATGTTAGTTCCTCCCCCTCCCAAACTAATATTCCACCTACTCTGATATATATGCACATGCATATATATGTATAAAAGTATATATATGCACACATATATATGTATATATATATACACATGCACATAAATATGTATATATACACGCATAATTATTTATTTAACACCCCCTCCTCAAGGCCAGAGACTCTTTTTGCCTTGCATTGCTTCCCCAGCACTTAGCACAGTACCTGGCACATAATAAGTGCTTAATAACTGATTGTTAACCTGCAAATTGATTGAATACAAAGTGTAAAAGTATAACTTCAAAAAAGAACAAAAAAACAACTGTTGTGAACCAAACTTATGATTTCATTGGAACATGGAACTCTTGATAAGAAGTCAAGCTTTAAGATAAAGTGTTTAAATTCTAGGATTCATTTCTGTAACTAAAGCCAAAATAATTAAAAAAAACATAATGCTATGATTTGCAAAAAGACTAGGGGTATATCACATTAATCTTATACTTTTGTAAGGTACCTTACATTTATAAAAACAAGTCATCTAAATTCATGGTATCACACTTTCTCATTAGAATTAGTTTTCTCCCCCAACAAGTGACTTCCTTCTCACTACTAAGATGTGATCCCATAACCTCTTAATTATGAAAAAATAAATTTTGTTTATCTCTACTAGGAACTTTCTCTTTCCTTCTGAGGGCAGCAAAGCTGAGTAGATTTTATAAAGCAAGTGGGCATAATAATTTAGGGGAAGTTTTTGACTCTAGTGATAAATTACTGGCCACATTGTTAAACCCCTGTTAGGAATAAGCTCTCTTGGTACTTTCTATCAAATTAATTTTGTAATATTTTCTGAACTTACTGACTTTCAAATTTCCATCTGGTTTCAACTTGTACAAGTTAAGCTAATCCCCAAAGTTCAGACAAGTGGTAATATTATAGGGTAATTTTCTAAGTCTTAAAACAATCTGGTACTTTTGAAAACTTTCTTCCAAGTAGAACTTGTGGTTCATTCTCATTGCAAGAATAGACAGTGACAGTAAGAATAATCAGCCTGATTCATATCCTCTGGAACTGTATGAAGAAAGGCCCTGGTTATGTAGGATATGAATCATTCTCACAGGAGAACACTTTGTAGTTATTGTAAACATTTGTCCTCTTCACAAGAAAAGGAAACAATTATTTTTGTCACTCAGGCCAAAAAAATCTTTAGGAATTTCTGATTGGATTGTTCATATGTGAGCAGTGAAATGTATGTTAGGTTTTTCCTAGGCATGTGCAATAGAATTTTATGTTGCAGAAATAAATTTGATAATTCTAGTTTCCTCTGGCATATATATATATATATATATACATAATATGTGTATACATATTATATATAATATATATCCATTCATACATATACACACATATATACATATACTATATATAATATACATATATACACACATATATTTTTATTAGAAGAAGAGATTCAAAAGTGTTGGTATGAGTGGGGCTCTCTTTATAAATTATGATGATAGAGAAGGCAAATTAACTTCTTTGCCAGTCTAAATATGTCTACTAAGTAATTAGGTAAATAGTTTCATCTTTCTCTAGATAAATTGTGCACTAACAATGTGATGTGTAGAACAGTGAAAATTATTTTCATTTATCCAACAGACATAGTAAACCAGAATTTTTTGTTTTTATTTTTTCTCCTTAATAGCATTTATTTTTCCCAATTACATGTAAAGATAGTTCTCAACATTAATTTTTATAAGATTTTGATTTTCAAATTTTTCTCCCTCCCTCCCCATCCTCCCTAAGACAACAAGCAGTCTGATACAGGTTTTATATGTATATATACAGTTATGTTAAACATATTTCCACATTAGTCATGTTGTGAAAGAGAATCAGAACAAAAGGGAAAAACCACAAGAAAGAAAACAAAAACAAAAAAAAGTGAAAATAGTATGCTTCTATCTGCATTCAGACTCCATAGTTTTTTCTCTGGATATGGATAGCATGTTCCATCATGAGTCTTTTGCAATTGTCTTGGATCTTTGTATTGCAGAAAAGAGCTAAATCTATCATAGTTGATCATTGCACAATGTTGCTATTACTGTGTATGATGCTCTCCTGGTTCTGCTCATTTCACCAAGCATCAGTTCATGTAAGTCTTTCCATGTTTTTCTGAAATCTGCCTGCTCATCATTTCTTATAACATAATAGTATTCCATTACATTCATATACCACAACTTGTTCAGACACTTCCCAATTCATGGGCATCCCCTCAATTTCCAACTCTTTGACACCACAAAAAGAGCTGCTATAAACATTTTTGTACATGTGGTTCCTTCTCCCTTATTTATGATATCTTCGGGGTATATTCCTAGTAGTAATATTGTTGGATCAAAGGGTATGCACAGTATTTCAACCCTTTGGACACAGTTCCAAATTGTTCTCCAGAATGGTTGGATCAGTTCACAACTCTACCAACAGTGCATTGCTGTCCCAGTTTTCCCACATCTTCTCCAATATTTATCATTTTCCTTTTCTCAATTGGATAGGTATGAGGTGATACCTCAGAGTTGTTTTAATTTGTATTTCTTTAATCAACAGGGATTTAGAACATTTTTTCAGATGACTATGTATAACTTTAATTTCTTCATCTGAAAACTTCCTGTTCATATCTTTGACTATCAATTAGGAAATGACTTGTATTCTTGTAGATTTGACTCAGTTCTCTAAATATTTTAGAAATGAGACCTTTATCAGAGACACTGGCTATAAAAATTATTTCCTAACTTTCTTCTTTCATTCTAATCTTGCTTGCATTGGCTTTGTTTATGCAAAAACTTCTTAATTTAATATAATCATAATTATTCATTTTGTATTTCATAATGTTTTCTATCTCTTGTTTGGTCATAAATTCTTCCCTTCCCCATAGATCACAGGTAAACTATTCCTTGCTCTCCTAATTTGTTTACATTATCACTCTTTTTTCTTTTTTTTTATAGTATCACTCTTTTTTCTTTCTTTTTTTTTTTTGGCTGAGGCAACCGGGGTTAAGTGACTTGCCAGGGTCACACAGCTAGTAAGTGTCAAGTGTCTGAGGCCAGATTTGAACTCAGGTCCTCCTGACTCCAAGGCTGGAGCTCTATCTACTGTGCCACCTAGCTGTGCCAGTATCACTCTTTATAGCTAAATTGTATACCCATTTTGACTTTATCTTGGTATATGGTTTAGGATGTCGATCTATGCCTAGTTTCTGCTATGCTTTTTTCCAGTTTTCCCAGCAGTTTTTGTTAAACACTGAGTTCTTATCCCAGAAGCTGGAGTCTTTGAGTTTATCAAACAGTAGATTACTATAGCCATTTATTGCTGTGTCTTGTGTATATAACCTATCCACTAATCTACCACTCTATTTCTTAGCCAGTACCAAATAGTTTTAATGAAAGCTGATTTATAATACAGTTTGAGATCTGGTACAGCTAGGCTACCTTCCTTTGCATTTTTTCCCATTAATTCCCTTGATGTTCTTGACTTTTTGTTCTTCCAGATGTATTTTGTTATTATTTTTTCTAAATCTACCAAATAATTTTTGGTAGTTTGATTGGCATGGCACTAAATAAATAAATTCATTTAGTTAGAATTGTAATTTTTATTATATTAACTTCACCTACCCTTGAGCAATTGACATTTTTCCAATTATTTAGATCTGAGTTTATTTGTGTGGAAAGTGTTTCATAATTATGTTCATATAGTTCCTCTGTTTGTCTTGGCAAATAGACCTCCAAATATATTACATTGTCTACAGTTATTTTAAATGGAATTTCTCTATCTCTTGCTGTTGGGATTTGTTGGTAATATACAGAAATGCTGATGCTATAAGTGGGTTTATTTTATATCCTGTAGCTTTGCTAAAGTTGTTA